CTGTAGGTCACCTGTGTCCTACAGGTCTGCAGATTTTCTTGTCCAGCCCCTTCTTTGCCTTCTGGCCAAACTTGGTCTTTTTTGAAACTTCCAAATCAATCTGCTGTAGTTGCTCTTTTTAATTTGTGAGGTTGTGATTCACAACTACATCCTATAAAGTCTCAAAGTATAAACTTTTAATGTATCTTTGTATGACTAAATTTGCTTTTTTTCATAATAAAAAGATTTCTTTGAAAATTTGTAGTGTAATCAGCCATCAACACTTAAGAACCAATCAGACACGGCTGAGGCCTTGTGTGCGTTGTTTCACTTGAAAGCTCCCAGTGGTCCTCAATCACTCCCACTTCATCCCTCATTCCGGTTTCCCTTTTTCCTCCTTTTCCATCCCTTCATCTCCCCCAGCGACTCACCCAGCCTCTTCAGCGAGCTGTAGCGGTTGATCTCAGGTTTCATGTTTGCATCGTAGGACGGTGGCAGCTGAGCCAGGTTGTGGAAGGAGTGCGAGAAAGACGGGTGGCTGCTGTTGTGTCTCAAGACGCCGCCGCCGCCGCCTCCCGCGCCTTTGCTGCTACCAGAAATCAGGGTGGGCCCGGAAGTGAGCTGTGGGGTGTTGTTCATGCGGGATCCACGCTCTTGAGAGAGAGAAAGACAGAAAGAGGTGGAAAGAAGGAAAGATAGGATAGATGGAGAAGTGAGGAGGAGATGAGGGGGAGAAAGGAGGATGAAAGGAATGATGTGTAAGAGTAAAAGAACAAAGAGAAGGAAAAGAAGAAGTGAAAGAGAGAACAAGAGAAGATTATACAAGCTGGTTAACTCTCAGTAAACAGGAAGTGTCTCTGAGCTCCATGGAGACCATCTATTAATACAACTCTGTGCTGTTCATCTGAGGCTCAATAAGACGAACGTATCAGCCACATGTAAATACACAGAAATACACCGATAGCTTCAGGAATCTACACACTCAAGCACACGCACATATTCACATTTATGCAAAGTGCAAAAGCAGCACAGCAATCAATAGACATAAAAAATGATTTGTCTTATGTAAGGTTTGCGGTATGGGGGAGGGGCAGGGGTGTCTGTTTCGCAGCACGTCCATTACATCATAAGGTGTACAAGTACATTCATAGTTTCCAAACAGCAAACAAACAGCAGTGGGAATGACCCAACATGTAGGTGCGCACAGGTCACCTGACATGTGTCGGATCTGTACATTCAAACGGAGGACAGAGGGACACATCTGCAGTGGACAAACACACGCCAGCCATCGCTGGATTAGCATTACGGAGGAATCTGAGAAGCTCGATTGGCTGCTAAATGTCAGCACGGGATGTTTGAAAGGTTAGAAATGTGAGGAAAAACTATGAAGCAGCGATTAAAGCTTGCGTAACCGTGGCCATTCGCTGCTGCTTCCTGTCTTAGACGCGGATATAATCAATGGTGAGTCCATTCGGGTAACAGCTATGGGCTGCGATCTTGTTAAGATAACTGCGGGACATATACTGGTCATTGACCATTGACAGTAATGGGCAATAATGGCCAATGTTGTCTCTGTTAAGTGCCACCCAGGGAACACACGCCACATCGACTTCTGTACCGTGAATTCTGCGTACGCTCACACACACACACACTGGGGGGAAAAAGCAATGCTAGCTCTGAGCTCTGGGATCATGTGGCTGTAAAGCAGGAGCTGAGCAGCAGGATGCAGGCTGTGGAGGAAATAGAAGGTAGAAAGCATCAAATGTCCTACCAGTTGCTCTGTGTTTTTGTGCCACCGTGCTAAATTAGCCTGGTAATTTCCACGAGTGAGAGGTAATTGATTTTTTTTTTTGAACAGCTACGATGGCTGACAGAGGTTTGGGAATGGTGTCCGGGAAAAATGAACTTTGCTCAGGATGAGCCGAGTATGTGACTCAGGGTTTGTGATTGTGTTGTACCAGGAGGCTGGTAACTTTAACACAGGAGGGAACCAGACAAGTGATGCAAAGGAGGCTCTAAAGTCTAAAATCTCACCTTTAGAATCAAAAATATTGAGTATAAACCGGCACAACTGAAGTAAAATCATCAAAATTCTTGGGACTGAAAGTTCAAATATATCAAAGACTTGAAATGAAATGAAATGAAATGAAGGGCATCTCCTTTATCCAACAGCCTACAGTTTATTTTTATTTTGTTCATTTTAAGTTTGTACTTCCTATGTTCCTAAAGTCTAAAATCTCACCTTTAGAATCAAAAATATTGAGTATAAACCGGCACAACAGAAGTAAAATTGTCATGGTCCTGAGCCATGTTGGCCCAGTATTCTTAGTTTTCGTGTGTTTTGTATTTTGTTCTTTATTTATGCCTTGGTTCCTAGGTTGTTTAGTTAAGAAGTTCCTTATTTGGTTGCCCGTTATGTCCGTGCTCTCTCTCCTCCTGTCTGAACCTCTGTGTACTTCCTGTTTTACTTTGACAGTCTCCCGTCAGTGTTGC